CCCAAGCTTTGCAATCATGTAAATAGACTGGCTTCTTCTGTTAGCGGGATATCATCTGTATTCGCAATCACTAATGGTAAGGCAATTTCTCCTCCAACGTTTGTATACAAAGCAGAAGGCAATCATGTTCGGACGATAAGGAGATATGGTTTGATAGCACCTAATCTACCTAAGAAGAAGTACTTCATTCATTGCTGTTCCGCCTATGATGTGGCTGTTGCTTTATTTGTTAGTACACTTCTGTAAGTTTGATTATTTCCCCTAACGTAGTGCAACAGAAACGATTTCTCAGTATAGTTTCTAGGTTCCACCGTAAGCGCGTCTGCTTCGGGGTGCGCACTGCCACATGTTACCGATTTGTTTTCGTCGTGTTCGCTGCGCCCTCACGACGAGAACCACGAGAATGTGGTCATCAACTGTGTGGAGCGCCATCGCTGTAGAAAGTGGGATATGGCAATGAAACGGTCCAATCGCAGGGGAGCGCGGCCCAGGGGCCGTGTGCTGAGTGTTGGGGACCCCAGCAAGGTTTCGTACCGGGACAAACAGGTTACTGGCCAGTCCTTTAATTCTGTGACTCTATTTTCGTCCTTTCACTGTTCTAGATTACAGATTCGTCCACGTACACATTGCCATATTGAAGTAATACACCAATATGGCACGAAGTAATAGAAGACGCGAACCAAACTGCAGTCTAAAGTAGTGAATGGACAGACTGGCACGATTACGGCAATACAGCTAGACGTACACGAACGATTCGGTTTATAAAAGAATCAAATTACATTAGACGGATAACAACGGCCGCGAGAACGGCTGTTACCGTAATCCGCCGCCGCAACAAATCGATGCCACGTGGCATTCGGCATGCCTCTTCCGTCGTTTTTCTGCGCACTCCACGCGACAGTGCGGACGATACGGAGCCCGTCCATTGTACGGAGCACCTGAGCTGTAGAAGGGCGAATGTGGCAGCGTGTCGAACTGGCCGGAGCGCGCTTCGCCGGCATGTTGGAGTTAACCTCCCTTGCCTTGCGCGCGAAGCGCGCGCAGCGTTCGCCTCGCCGCGGGAGCGGTGAGGCATGTGCTGCATGCATTTTTGGATAGTCACCCGCGGTAAGGGTGGCTTGTGACAAGACGGTTATCGCAGTCCGTGGAGTGAGCGTTCAATCTACCTAATTCATTGAAAGGGCGCGGCCACGGGTTACGGTAACAGCCGTTCCGCGGCCTTTATTATCTGTCTTGTGGCGCCGTAGCGTTGCATGCACCGACTATAGGGGCATGCTCCGCCTCCGGTCCCGCCTCCAGCCGGGACTACTTAAGCGAGCCGCCTCTGCCAGTCGGCGCACTTCGCTCCCTCCGGGAGGAGCGTTGTGCCGGGCAACGCGAGGAAGCTGGACGGCTCGGAGTGCCACTGGCACTCGGCAGTATGGTCCGGCATACTGTCCCGTCCTGTCGGAGCGCTGGCAAGCCAGCGTCCGCTACACCGGATGGACGCTGCCGGCTGCAGGCGCCAGCAGTGCGCCACTTACCGCCGACGACCCGATGGATGGACGACGCGATGGCTTGGTACCTCCAAGCCCGGCAGAGGATGAGAAGAATAGGTCGTCAACTTGTTGCCGCCAATATCCGCCAATAAATGTGAGTATGTTTAATTGTAGTTGTTGTAGTAGGGTTGTAGTTTGGGGAGCGCCAGGGCAGGGGCCCGACTAAGGCGCAATAGGCTTTTCTTGTGCTGTTATGTTGTGGGTTGTAGCCGGGGCAAGGGAGCCCTCGGCCCTTGGGCTGGGAAAGCCCGGGCCGACGGTGGGCCTTGCCCCCGCGGGTTACCGCTTACCGCGACCCTTAAACCCCCTTCCCTGGGTTAGGAACCCGTGACGCCCCGGGGAGCGGAGGCCATGCTTGCGGGAAACAGCATGGTCCCCGGGAAGGACCCGTAGGATGACGTGTGCCTGGGAAAGGCCACGAGGGCCCCGAACCACCTCGATGCGTCGTGTTGGAGGGTTAGGAGGGCAACCGCTCCCGAACCACGACATCGTCTTTCATTCGACTGCAAGGAGTGTACCACACTATATGGATGGTGTGAATGTGCTGCGAAGGTAGCAGTGGGATGATAACGCGACATGCGTAACGGAGTGGACTACAAGAGTGGAAGCGGATCGTCAGTGCAGTAAACCAGTGACAAACCCCATACCGTGAAGGTTTTCAGTGCAGTCGAGATGATGTTTACACAAGAGAATGTCCAAACAATCTGAAGACGTGATTTTGGTCGTGTCGTGAGATGGAATTTTGGTGAGGAATTTTGAGTAACATTATGATTATGGTGGATGGATCGTCATATTCCTTGTTCTGTGATTCAGTAGAAAAGATCTCCAAGTCTTCTGCAGGGTCTTTCCGCTTGACGCGTTGCACTAACATGGTTGCCAGACATGAATAACGACATGGAGTGGTGCAGAGGAATAGGTAATAAAATCTTAGGATGGATGATCTTTTTTCCAATGGAATCAATGACGATTGCCTAATTCGAACATCTAAGGTTCTACTACCTGTCGCAATTCGTGGTGGGGACTTCACTTCCTTGATTGCTTTGCAACATTTCTGGCTTACAGACACCTACATCAAGCAATGCACATGGATATCTTCTGTCTCTATCGTATAAACTTATTCTTACTGTCCTTGTAGCTTCGTGGTGCAAGTACTGAGTGTGCCAGTGGGAAAGGAATGCACCTGCAACCAAAATCTGTTCTCTCCCAAAGTATAGCTCAGACTCATCACACTGCTCCCAGACACGGTGACAGCACCGTGAAAGCGTAATCTTCTCTGTTTCTGCCACACTGAGCGCACGAGATAACCACTCTCTAGCGCTATGTCAGTGCACAGGGTATCTTTTAAAGAGCTGTCCTTCGGTGCCCTCTTGACGACATTTATCGCCATCTATTAGCACCCCTTGAGTTCGTGTAATGTTCCAGTCGCGCATAATTTATTCATGGTGGCATGCGCATCAGCATAATGGAAATGAATATGAAATAAGGTGCACGCTGCTGGCTCAAGAGACGGAAATTTCCGCGCGGAAGGCATTAGAAGCATTCTGGATATTCACTAGAAATCCAAGAATGAACAGCCGCGATGAGTGTCCTTCAATAACAAATGATCTACTGCCGTTCATTCCGCACTGCGAGCTGTAGAATGACAGAGCGTTACGTGCGTCTCCCGACTATTTTTGACATAAGGAGACAGTATGGTATTCTTCAGTTCTAACTGATCAGCGCTCTGTGTGGCAGCGGACTTTTCCGCTCGAAGGGTGGAACCGACGGTGAGTTTATTTCTTGCGCTGTCCTGATCTTCTCGAGGGGTTTCTGACACGATGTCGAAACCGCTAGAGTTGATGAGGCGCTTGGTGGTGTAGAGCGTAAGTCTAACGCTTGAAACACGTTCAGGCCTCTGAAGACGACGATTCAGTCGAAACGTTAGGCCATTAATAAAGGTTCCACCGAACAACCTCGTAAGGCAATTTATTAAACCTATTTACAGACATTTCCCCTTTCGAGACTTTGTCAGGAGCATCCTATCACGCCCTTGTCGTAAAATTTCAGGTGAGCTTATAATTATTATAATTATGCAAAGCAGATTAGTATACATACGGATCACTTTACATGGCCGGACTGCCCAGTTGAATTTGTGCTGCGTTAACTACGAATTTCTTCGGCGTAATTTCGAATAAGGATGGTTTGGATTTTATTTGCTCGAAACATCATATTTTCCTCTAAACGTAGCGATACTTTAGTGTAGTGCTGACATTTTGCTCCAGGCGATTATACGTTATCACAGGGAGAAGATTCGAATTCGATAAGAGTTTCTTGTTGACATCCTCCTTTGAGCAGAACCTGAAAGGAATTCTGAGTAGATTCCGTGTTTAACAAACTACATTTCCAACTTATGTCATACCTGTAACCCGTCAGACGCTTGTCGGAATGTGCTTTGATTTCAAGGCCAGTGTATTTGCATCCACTGTCAAGATACCAGTCAGGAAGTGCCACAATTATTATTTCTATTCTTCTATTATTTGGTGCCTTAAGATTCATTTCCTCAGCCCACTAACTTCAGTACTTCTTGAAATAACATCTGACCTTAATCCAATAGTTACATCGCTTAAAACCGTCTGGCTCGTCATCGGCATTGATGCCGTCAAGCTTATTTTCAAGCGTTTGCCACTCTTCCTTCGCCTCCACTTCTTCACCGCAACCTTCTGGCTGAACCATATTCATTAAAGGGTAGGAGGGTAAAGCTTAAGAGCAACTGTCACCCTTGTTTCGCAGAACTGTCCACCGTATCCGCTGGGGCATATGCATTTGGAGCAATCACGCGGATGGGGAAATCCATCATTCTGACACTGTATGGTTTTATCTTTACATGCGTCTGAAATTCTATTCCTTATGAAAACATTGTAAGTTGGTGCACATTCCTTTCCACACATCATAAGCTTTACCTAAGCAATCGTAGAGCGTGTTCATAATGAGGAGATCATAGAACGAAATGATATCAGATCCCAGAGTCTCCGTGTAGTTCCCATCAATGGCTTCCATAACAGGTTTTTCTCTGTCGATGGATACGACACTACTAAAATGATATTTTTTTTCACTCCAATTTTTTGTTGTTGCATTGTATAGAAGAGTTCTACCTTTTGGCTGCGTAGTGCATTATGCTACCGTAGTCATATGTCAGATTATAATTGTCACTGGTTGCCGTCGTTTGCACGTCAAATTGATCATACCACAAAGGCTGAAGAAGTCTACGATAATGTTAGTAATGTTCAGAACCGATCACAAGATCTACCTTGATATTATCTTTGTGAACTTTGATAAAATTGTCGCGATCATATCTTGTTTGAGTATGAAACAATCCAAGTGTATGACCAATTTCGTGAGCAGCGTGTCCGAGCTGAAGTAGAACAGGAACGTAATTAACATAAGATAATGGGAAACACGTCGCCGTTTCCAGAATGACACATGTCACATAAAATCGTATCGTGCAATACGGAATATCGTTCGAGCACACACCGTTCCACAACCTTGGCCGAGAGTTAGTTCCTGCGGACCTGGTCCCTTATTTCTGCCAACATACGATTTACATCCATCATCTCCACCGAGTACAAAAAGAATGTCCGTGGCTGGAACAACAATATTTGACAGAATTTTGCAAATGCCAAAATTTTAGTTATGTTTTGATTGCGCCTCGAAGGTTAGGTTCTGTCAATTTAACGGGAATGCGATCAGCTGTTCTCCATATGGGTGAGAGGAGCAAGACGCTTGGACTGTTCAATGCAAGTGTGTGGAATAGCGCACACAGAGATTACAAATGGGCCAATGGTAGACAATTAGAATTTGCTACTGTGTGCAGATGAGCCAAGAACGTCATACAACTCTTGCTCTCACCAACTACATCACTTAGAGCGTCAGCAGAGCATCTCCAAATAAAACGATGTTTCGGACGGAGCAAGAGATATACATGCTTAGCCCTTCTCAGGGTTTATTTTCAATCGGATCTCGCGAAGGTCATTCACGCATTATGTCTCCGAAGGTCATTCATGCATTTTGTTTCTCTGGAGTGGTTCAACTGGCGCCAGTTATGTTAGGAAAAATAAAATCACAATCTTGTACATTGGCTGGCCGCTGCAACGCATTATACAATTATTATCAAATCGCATTTTGAATGTCTGAATGGCGTTTACCAAAAACGAGCTCATAAAGCCAAAGTTCTCTTTTTACTACAACACTATATAATTACTGATTTAGTTTATGCTCGATGTTTCTGGACAATCCCCCTCTCACGACCATGAGGGCTGCAGGCAACTAACGACAATAGGGAGAAGCGATGGGATTTGGCTATCTGCAGTGAGTGGCAAAACAAAGATATGACATGTAGGTGAGCACTGTACATAGATGCTGGGTAGCAAAAACGATTGAAATTATAGGGTAGATAAAGGACGTATGAAAATGTCAGTCATCGCAACCATAACAACGACGAATTTGGGTATGATTCTGAGAAATGCTAACATGTTGGCTGTTAGGAATAAATAAAACTCTTACGTGGCTTTCTCTTTGAATAGTCTGTATAATCTGTGAAGTTAATGCACGTGTTCTCCATCCATAATTTCGCCGCTTTCTGGAAAGCAGTCGTGGTCCTCTCGTCTGTGAATATAGAGTGGGTATTTACAGTTTTTCGTGCGTGTTTAAAAAATAGACAAACTAATCACACGACTAACCATGAAGGAAAAGCATGTAAGGAACCCCATCTGACCATTTTCTCGCAAGCCAACCTTTCATCGTTGAAAGCTTGCCTTTTGAAGTGGGCACCTTTTGAGATTCGCAGCCATTAGCTCCTTTTGCTCCCTTGAGATAAAACAGATACAACTTTTGGTAACAAAGCTTGAATCACCAGTAAGCAAACTTTGTAAGTATAATATCTTCCTGGAACAGCTCGTATACAACTCCGCTTCTCGTGTTAATTTCTTCGATCGAGTCTTCGCTTGGCAGCGCATTATACACAGCTTCCCTTTTGAGCAACTAAAATATTGACTTTCTGGAAATGTTTCTCTTGCTAGAATTTCCTCACCTCCAGCCCTTCAACAGGTTCGTTTTCCCGCTCGGAGGTTAAATTGGGCAACTCAGCGCTCACACAAGCAGCCAGAAGTGAAACAAACGTAGGTGCCCTCATTCTGGAAGAATGATTAATTTTTAGTGGTGATAGGAATATCAGAAATAGAAGTTTCGCCGGTGCAAAACGATGTAATTGCTCCCGTCTACTCGTACTTATATGGTATTCTCCTGGATGCGACGTTGACACAGTGGTGACGCTGTTGATTTTGATTCGTTCACGTCGACAATGTAAAAAAATTGTTCTAGCTGATATGGATTTAGAGTTTGCGGAAGCTGAATGAACGACAGTTTTGGTAAGAGACTGGAATAATAAGAGCTATTATAAGCAGTGGGTGTTGCTGGATGAGTCCGTCTTTTCTTTGCACTGTATTTCGAAAGTATTTGAAAATATTAGACCATTAAAACTGTTACAGAGCATGGCATTAACGTCTTGCGGCCTCATCTTGATCCTTCTTTAGCCTTAGTAGCTCTAATGCGCATGTTCGACATACAGTAGTGGCCAGAAATTTATGAACAAACGGTTTTTTCATGATTTCTCTTTTGAAAGTCACTGGAACGTCTCCAAATTTGCAACAATTATTAACTACGTGTTTTATGATCCACACAGAAAATTTCAACCTTCAGCT